TATATATATATATATAAAGGTATTTATCTCTCTGCTAAAGCTTTGTGAATTGAGGCCAATATATATAGCAGGATGTTACCATATTAGTGTTGCTTGGGGAAAAAAAGAAAAGAAAAAAGGTATAAAAATAACATAAAATAAATTGTTGAACCAGTTTTCTACAGATAATGAGACCAGCATAAACATGACATTTCATGTAGAATATTGAATATTAATATTTTAATGTCTAGTTTTAAATGTGACCAGGAGTTATACGGCACAGATATTGTTCTTATTGAATTACATGTGTTATTACAAAGTATTATCTCAGCAGCAATCTTCTGACGCTTAGCAGACACTCACACATATACCTGAGGTGTGTTTGCGCGAAGAGATATATATATTTAATTTTATTTGTGTCGCCCAATCATTTTCTGAACACACACTCGTGGCCAAAATGGAGAGGCTGGTGGAAGAGTCTCTGGAAGGATGAGTTTTGTTGAGCTTCTGGTACAATACGGAACACCACAGGCTGCAATTTCACACTCCACAGCACAATTACCCTAAAGCTATCCCTTCTCTCTTTCATCCAAGACCCCCTATTTCCTCTCCTTTTGCCTGCTTTTAATACCACTGCATATTTGATCCGAGTGTCTCCTAGTAGTGAGAGAGCTTGGCTGTCCTGAATGGCATATGGGCCACGTGTGCTGTTCTTGTGTTCTTTATGTAGAACCCGACACTTTAACCTCTAGTCTTTACTAAAGGCATTTCTACAAATACAGACAAGAAGGAAAAGAAGGAGAGTCCTTTGCAGGGCATAGGACTTCCCCAACCCAACAAAGACTGCACACGTTTATGTAACACACATTTTACAGAGATAATAGAGACAGACTGAAAAAAAAAAAAAAAAAAAAAGAAAAAAAAAAAAAAAAAAAAAAAAAACCCCAGCCATATAAACTAAAAAAATAGTGCAAAACACATACAAAAGGCATCTTGAAATACAAACATAACACACAGTAATACCAACATCTCACTTAAAGGAAAGAAAGAATGAAAGACACCAGCCATAAAAAATAGTCCAAAACACATAAAAAGGCATCTTGAAGTACACACATAACACACAGTAATAACAACATCCCACTTAAAGTAAATAAGTAATAAGCAACAGAAGGAAACATTTTATGCATGAAAAACACAAGAAACCATAAAGATAGCAAGCGTAACCCACACATGTGTAATACAAAGCGGATGCATACGAAATAAGGTATAAAAACACAGAAGAAACAAACATATATCACAAAGGATATCACTGCAACACACGATACACATAAAATGACTAACACACAAATGATGTGTAAAAATACCCACTCAGAAATCTCACAAAAGACACACCATCACTGTGCATATTTTAATTCTTACTCATATATGAATTAAGTAATACACACATATGACAGTAAAAGCACATAGTAAAATTATAGTGTCACTAAAGGCAAAACTTTATAATATTTGGAAAGCATGCATGGTTAGGGGTTAGAGCCACTGCCATGTTTTTATTGCTGCTTGTGTCCTTGTGTGCTGTTGTGTCTTGA